CCAGCTTGATCTTGGAAGCCATCAACTCCCAACCCTTGGCAAGATTGGCCTTAGGTCCACTGAGTTTGAAATCGTCAACGTAGACCACGAGCATGAGATTCAGTTTGGGATGTCGGAACACGCTCTTCCAATCGGGGCATTGCTAGAAGCCAACCGATCGGAAAGCCTTCTCACAGTGCTGCGTTCCCAGAAACCACCAGCATCGGGATGCCCATATAGAGCCGAAACAAGGCGCACAACAGGATCGTGATACTTACCTTGCCACTCGGGCAGCCATCGATCCTTGGGTAACCGAACCCAGGTTTCAGGTCCGCCGAGCTTAGCTTGGGTATAAGCGGACTCGCCATCGGCAACCTGAATTTCATGACCAGGCAGAAGACCGAAAGCATCGGCGGCCTTACCTGCCTCCATGGTCGCTGGGCATGAAGTAATCTCGGAGAAAATTGCCCAATTGTTACCCTCATCCTTGACGTGGCATCCGTCAAACACGACACGACCCTTGACCTTTCGATTAGGATCGGATTCCGGAAGTTCAGAGCTCTTCTCGACGCATATATCGAAAATGCGGCCAATGTGGGCCGTTTCACCCTTGGACATGGCCTCATTGGAGACATCGCGCCATTCACGCACAGATGCGTAGTCCCAACATCCCTGACTGATGAGTTTATTCCACTCTTTGTCAAGAGCGGCTTTAGCCTTGGGATTGGCAGCGCGTTCCTTGCGGTCAACGGGCCGTGCGACGCATGCACTGTAAAAGAACGCCGACGAGTCAGGTGATCGATGTGCATGAGATTCAGAGCGAACAGGCATCGCAGGCGCAGCTTCAGCTGAGAAATCAATCTTGGAAGGCTCAGCTGGAACAGCAGCGCTGACTTCGTCATCGGCGGCGAAGTCGAGCTCTACCGCGGCCCACACAGACGTGTAGAACTGAACAACCGCCACATCCTGCAACAATTGCGGAGTCAGTGGGATTAATAACGTCAACGCCAGATTGCGTAGCTCCCTCATTGTACGTGTACATGGCCGGACAAACATCGAGGCCACTTCCACGGAGGGGCTGAACTCGGGCGGACATTCCGCTGGGCGGATCGAATTCGAGATCCGTAACAACGCAAGTTCAAGATTTGGCAGGAATGGTAGTTCGTGCCTTCGCTCGTAGCGCATGACCATAGTATCCATTGGCAGTCTGCACGCGACGTTCAGTACCATCCTTACTCGGCATGGTGGTACGAACTTTCACTTGCGTTTTGGCAGATGAACCAATGACGAAGATGGTCTTGCCCGTCCATCGGCACGGCAGAGAACGCGTATCACGCACTCGCCAGGAGTCTTGAATCGTAAACTTCGTACCATTGGTCATAGCCATTGTTACCCGAACATCGGTTGGGGTTGCTGGATCAACTGGACAGTCTTTGACTGAGGTCGGATTAAACCGCGCTCGGCGCTCGATCACATGAAATCGAGTGATCGTGCCAGCTGCGACATCGTGATACCAGTAGTCTTTATCGTGCCGCTCGGCACTCGACTCGTAGTCAGAGTCGAAAGCAATGTCAACGGGCGCGGCATCACGGGAGTCTTCCCGTGACATGGCATGAGACTCAGCCTCACGGCGGTCAGCCTCAACGTATCCTTCCCGCTCAGCGCGATTCATGCTACGCCATGACTCGGAGTCGATGGAATTTGGCTTCCTAGAGCCTCGGTACGAGCGCTCTGCTCGCGGCACACGCTGTTGATAGGGCAAACCCCCCTCGCCCTCCAGGATCTCAGACCCATGATACGGGGGCAGCTTCTTCTTGGGTGGGGCGAAGCCATCATCAAAGAATTCAACGGTGCCGGTCCAGAGTTGCATCAGTCTCGTTTTACCGAAGGCATACCCAGTTTCATAGATCGCTACGCGGCTCTTATATCCTTAGGTTTCACGGATCAGGGGAATCGCCAACGGATCCAGGAGTCTTACTGGGATGAACCATCGCCTTCCTCGGTACCACAACATGATACGTCCACTTATGCTTGGATGTCATACTCCCAATAATCTACCCCTCCTCCGTGACAGGATTCGGCTCGTAACTCGGCCTCGCGAGCCCGCTGAATGTCATCATCGGTCATTCGCGTCGGCTCGTCGAGGGCGAATATTTCATCGATATCCTCGAGCTCGATCATGTCGGAAGCATCCAGGCACTCACTCGGCTTCGGTATGTTAGATTGCATCGCAGGATCATTGAGGCATACCGAGCGAGTTTGTTTATCGTACACCGCCAGCATCGGAAATGTCCATCGTTCTTTAGGCGAACTGTACACCTTCTTAACCTGATGAACACTTGCACGCGTGGCGTCGCGCTTGAAATCCTCAAGATCAGCGACAATGTAATCACCATCCCACTTGCCCCCATTCTCAAAGTGGTACCCTAGAAAGATACCAGGTTTGCTGGTAGGCGAGAATTTACTGGGAGGCTGATAGGATGGAAATCGCTGGTCGACTTCTCCACCTTGGAGAACTCCTGACTGATCATCGCCTCCGTCGTCGATCCATTCGAGAAATCCATCGTCATCGAAACCAGCCTCGACGTCAATCAATCCATCATCCCCAGGAGCAGGGACAGCATACTCTTCACCATCACCGAGTATAACGACTTCGTCTCTCTGATTTCGCCGGTTCTGTTTTCGTGCCGGCGTTGGAAAGAAGTCAACAAGGCATCCAAACGAAAGGATTTGTCCATCAAATTCGGCCCCATCGAATCGCAACATGTAAGCACTGTGGCCTTCGCGTAGCTCGATGTTGCGAGCATGGAAGAAGTGCTTGCAAGCATAGGGCCAGAATTTGGCGCTTAATCCTGCTTGTCTCAGTGCCACGCGTGCACCATGAAGAACAAGCTTCACCTTGCTCTCGGCAATAGCGTTAGTCCGGGGCCTTCCAGGGGTGGAGTGCTTCACGGAAATGCCGACTTTCTTACAGGTCGATATGAACTCGCGGGCTTTATCACAGTAGATTTCCCGGATTCCCGAAGGAGCATACCTTCTCTCTACATCCATGGAACACGAGTTCACATCTTTGAGATCGCCAAAGACCTGTTGGAACGCTCGCAGCGTATCGGCATTCGTTCTCCCCTTGACGGGAACACTCTGTGGCTAAATCGTAGAAGACAACAGCATCCGTCTAATCATTATTCCCGCGATTGCCCAATCCGTGCAACACCATAGTGTCGATGGTAACATGCTCGCCAAACTTCTCAAACCCTTTATCGCGTGGGGAGTCCTGGCGAAACGACTTATAACATTTTCCATCTTTGCACTTTGACAGGCATCGCAATAGGGATTCTTCGGCAAATGAGTCATGAGATGACGGACCGACTTTGCCTCCTCCCTCAGATCGCGCGCTCTTGGCTCATCGGGCGGCGACTGAGGCTTGGACTTTTCAGGTGCCTTCTTTTGATCGTCAGGATTCTTTCGAGCACCTTTGGCACCAGGCATGTCAAGGTCGAGCTCTCCAATATCATCAAGCTCGTCAACAGGCTCCTCACCAGCTGCAACAACCTTTTCATGGACTATAATAGGCGCTGGGAGAGCCGGGTAAACTCGTGGGAGATCAGGACGTCCAGCCACAACCTCAGTCTCACTAGGAGTGAGGTAGGGGATGTTGTTTATCACATCGACCTTGAGTCGCCTCCCGTTGGGGTCAAAGAAAATTGGATCACAGTAAGGATCCCATATGAATCGGTAACCGAGCTCCTTACATCGTTTCCCAAGGGAAAGGAGACTCGGGGTGCTCTCCAAAGCATAAGCCTCAATCAGCTCATCAAGGCCGTCAATGCGCATATGCGCCACACCCTTGATGTTGGTCTTCCATTGGCGGTCCTGAGACTGATCTTGGCATTCTGAACGATCAGATCCCTTTCTTCACGGGATAAGTCACCGAGACCAATAAGGCCTATACCGCAACCGGAGTCTAGCATGAGTCTCCGTACCCTCTTGATGGACTTGACAGCAGCAGCAAAGACTTCGCAGGCGCTACGCTTTGAAAGCGTGAGCTCCAGAACACAAGCATCATTTCCTAACGTTTTGGCATCAACGTCGTCGAGCAAAGCCTGCTCTCTCCAAAGCACGGCCTTCATGTGAGCCCTGCGCCGCTCGCGAGCACTATTCAGACCACGGATATCTTGTGGCCACGAATAGTTCAGATTCCTCTCGCGATTGACGGGACCAAAGACTGGCTCCGGGAAAGAAGACTCAATCATGCGGGTTTCAGTATCCCCAAACGATACTGTCTTCCGCTTGACCGACGGACACGCCACATCGAACGATGCAGCACAAGCGAACGTGAAGTCTCCAGAGGAGGACGCTGTCATTGCCTGAGGGTTGCGGCACGCCCCTCTCAAAAATCCGAAGGCGTTGGCGCCGGGCTGTCAACCCGGCGGGAACTCGGTGCGGGCTCAGCAGGCGCAGGAGCGGCAACAGAGGTGCTCTCAGCTGGGGCACCCGGCTTCACATGCTTATAGGGACACTTGTCACCCTTAGTACAGGTGCCTCGTCCGTAATAGAAGCATATGCCGGACTCCTTTGATATCGGTGACTGTGATCGAGGCGGGAATCCCTTAGGCGAGGAGCTTCTCCCTTTCAGGTTGCGGGAGAACTTGCAGCCGCTTCCTCGTTCTTGAAATCGTAGCAGACTTCCCGGCCTCGCGGGGATCGTGAAGGAGATCGGCGTGTTGGAGCAGGGGCAGCTCTTCCGGGGCTGCGAGAGTACCGCCTCGGCGAACCGCGTCTCGGGGAAGATCGTCTGGGCGATGATCGCCTCGGCGAGCTTCTCCGGTGTGGACTTCCTCTTCTCGAGTCGCGGCGCCCACAGGTGATCCGGATCTTAGTTCTCGAGAATGATCGCCGCGGACTGCCGTGCGCAGGTGCAGCATAACGGCACTGCGCAGAAGAGGATCGCCTCCTCATTGCGCCGTCTACGCCAAGTTGTAATCGCATTGACGCAAACGGTTCGCAAATATGCGTAGTTCCACACGGAAACATCTCTGTCCCACAATTGCATATCGAGCTCAAGGCATCGGAACTCACGTACCTGCTCGTAGAAGAGGGCACAGAGGAATGGATCTTCAGGGCGATCGACGGAAATGCCAGCAAGGACATGATCCCACCGGTTGGTGAAGGCCTCTAGCCTTTCCTGCTCGGATCCGTGCGTAAACCGATCAATCGTGGTCTTCACAAGATCAACGGAGCTTGAAAGTCGAGTCGCCTGTAACGTGCGGTCGGAGAAAGTCATACAATAGCCACAAGATCTGCCTACTCCCGAGCCGCCGATTAATCGTATGCATGCGCTCGGTTTCAGTCTGGATCTTATTCCTCAATGCGAAAGATTTAACGCACTCACGGAAGGCCGAATTGCATTCGTTCACGAGCATTCCGTACTTGCATTCTTCCAGAAGGTCCTCGTAACGGGTACCATCGGGAATTTCAACCCAAGAGAGAGCGTATCCCGGATTGTATGCGAATGCGTTGGCAACCCGCTCTTTCATGTCAACAATCCAGCGTCGCAGCTGGGCGGGCTCAGGCTCAGGATCGAGCCGGAAGGACTTACACTTCGCCTTCTTCGCATCGCTCAACGATCCATCGCCCTTGGGCCCACCAGGTCCCGACTCGTTGGGACCAGGCGGAGTACCCGTCTGTCTCTCCAGGCAAACGAGACATATCCTCAAGGGGTCTCGACAGCAGCCATTGCAGCCTTGCAGCATGAGAATCGGCATGAGATGCACAACCGTCGAACGGTGGTCGGGAATGTTCCGGTGCATCGCTCGGACTGGAAAACATCGCTCCCACTCGGTCGTCCGGAAGGTCGAACGCTTGGCGGATCAAGACCTCCATCGGGCGGACCACCTCCACCGGGCGGGCCACCAGGTGGGCCACTAGGCGGACCACCGCCGCCACCGGGGCCCCGGACCCATGCCGCCGAAACCACCGCCATACGCACCCCCATTATCGTTGGGGCCATCACCGCCAGAGGGACCATCGTGTCCGTGAGGCGCAGGTGGTGGCCCACCGAACCCGGATGGAACGGCACTTGGTGCAGGAACAGATGTTCTGGCATTGAAGGTGGGCATCGGAGGCATAGCATCGGTATTCGTGGCAGGTCGAAGCGTAGCTGTGACGCTCGCGCTTGGTGCCAATGTCAAGGTGCCAGTCTCTCTGTGGAGAATAGGGGCGCTGGCACCGTCGCCAACTAGGCTTGATCGGCCGAGCATAGCGTTGTACCATCTCGACGGCCCTTTCCCTGCGGGACAGTACGGGTATCATAAGAGATCTGGCAAGGGAAGGTCGGGCTCGACCGTGGCTCAGGAGCAAAGCTTCGAGTCTCAGGGACGTGTCGAACGTCAGTGCGAAAAGCATCCTCGGCAGGGAATGGCCTGAGGCTCGGAGCCTGACCGGAAGTTGCTCCAACGGCATTTGCGGGAGGAACGGCGGGATTCGGCGATCTTCCCGAAGAAGAAGCTGACGTTTGGCCATAATTTTGTCGAACGGGCTCAACAAGATTACTTTGACCACGACTTTCACCAAGATGTTCGTCAGCGACTCGTTGCTGAGCTCGCCTCAAAATCTCATCAAGATTGAGGCAACTCGTCTGAGAGTGCACCGTTGAGGCCTTCAGCAGGTGCAGCATTGCAACCCGGCGGAGAGCCATGATCGATCGGACCTAACAACGAAGATCTCGGAATGGCAGTAGCTTGCCCGCCAGGGAATAGTGCACCAGGAACTGGTGGCAAGTCCGCAGGACGTGGGGTTTCCCCATCATGGTCGCTGATATCGAAGAACTGCGTTCGTTCCGGTCGTGAAGGCGTCGATCTATCAGAACCGCCTCTGCGGACATGGGCGCTCTCGAGATACTGAACACGAGCAGTAAGCTGATCGATAAGAGCTCGGTTACTCTCCTTATGATCGTAGAGAGCACGACTCATCTCAGATCTGATGACTTCGATGCGGTGAGTAGCATTCTGTTCAACCGCAGCGACGCGCGCTTCAGCATTTGAGATAATGATCTGGATTTGCTGTAGCGCGTCCGGGTACTGCTTGATGTGGCAGATCGTCTCAGCAAGCTGCATGGATAGCGATCCAGCACGCTTCTCGTTGTCCCGGTGGATCCGCTCATCAAACTCGATGAGTCGATCGTTTACAATCGAGTTGAGCCTCACAAATTGTTCCTCAAGCGTTTCGTGATCACGAATTGGCTTTTCGCGAAATGAGCTGGAGGTGCGTGATCAAATCACGCTCTTCCCTCAACTCGGCTTGAAGAAGCTCCCACATGTCTCGGATCTTGTTCTCGAGCACTTCGGTAACATCCGAGACTCCGTTCCTCAGTATGTCGAGGTCGGCCTGGGTGTTGGTCACACCCTGCGCGATCGCCAGAATGTCGGTGGCGATGCGCGCGGATGCATCCGACCCAATGGCTTCATCGACCAGGGCCCTGACAGTCGAAGGGACACGAGGAAAACCGATCGGAGTCGCCATTCTCTCGGTGGCGCGGCCAACCACAAGTTCCGAACTTGGTCTGAGCCAGGAAAACGGTAGTGATCGGACGCTGATTGGATCAGGCGTTCCGAGTGCCGAAGCAGCAGCAGCGAAGCTGCAATCCACAATCGGATGCGGAGGCCCTACGGCTGATAACCTGTGAAAAGCGGAGGATTCCACCCAACTCTCGGTCACAAAGCCCAAGGCAACCAATCGTAGATCAAAGCAAAGCAAGCGGTGCAAAGCAAGGACGAACGGAGATTAAAACCGTAAGTTTGACGCTCAGAGTAAAGGCAACACTAGAACCCCCAGGCGCTAGTGGACCTTTTGCTGGACCTGACGCAAAGTCGGTCTTTAGCTGTCAAGCTGCGTGATTGACACAAAGTTGGCAAGATTCCTAACCAGGACGCAGACGCACATGTACACATGTCCGTGACAAATCACAGTTTGTATACACATAATGAGTGCTTGGCTGTCCGTCTTTGTTGCTGCTGGCATCAGCACTGCACATTGTCAGGTTTAAGGGTGTGGTTGCAAACACAACTCCAAGAAAGAAGACTATGCGCTGGAGCATTCTGTGTAGCACTTGCCAAAACGAATTTTACGATTGACCTCGGATCTTGCTACTTTTCGCAACCGGTTGCCGTGCGCTCACTGAGAAGCCAGGGCCTAGACATCCCCTTTCGGAGGAATGCCAATCTCGACACGAAGACTTTCCAGGAACACCAACCTCGAATCCAGGTTGAACGCCGACACAACCAGGAACGCCAATTTGGACTCCAAATAAATGCCAAAACCAACGTCAAAAAAAAACGCCAAATCTGACGCCAAACAGATGCCAAAAAAATGCAAAACAAACGCCAACGCCAGGCAGCGGCTACCGACCTCTGGAATTCAGGATTAATTCCCCAGCGTTTTGGCATTGTTTTGGCATTTCGCTGACGTTTTTTTTAGCATTCTTTTGGCGTTTGGTTTGGCCTTTGTTTGGCGGTTCTGTGAACCTTGCCCGGGTAGCCGTATCCTGAGATTTGGCATTTATTTGGCGTTTGATTTGGACTTGCCCCGGCCCCCTCCTGAGATTTGGGATTTGTTTGGCGTCTGGATTGGAGTTGCCCGTGGCCCCCTCCCTCCCTCCCTCCCTCCCTCCAGCCGGAAACAGCAGCACTCAAATCTCGCATGCCCTACAGAACTACACAACTGGCAACTGCTACTTGACAACATAGCGAAGACATTGCAGTAGCAATAACAATATGTACACACCAAACGTCGTATATAGATAGATCTTATTTGCACTGGAAGCACACAAGCAACGGGCTGCTTTCAGTACCAACCATGAAGTACAACTAGCAAACACCGGCCTGCAAGCAAGACATACATAGTAATGCCCAAACACCAAAATCGGACGCCCTCAAGCACGAAACACCACATTACACGACCTGCAGTGCTATCCAAAAGACGTCAAATTCAAACACTCAAAAACACGAATGATAACACAACTCCAACAAGTGCCAAACTCAATCACCAAAACACGGACATGAAAACACAATTCCAAGACAACACCAAACTCAAACACCAAACAAACGCGAATGAACACACAACTCCAAAAAATCGCCAAACTCAAACACCAAAAAGCACGCCAATCAAAACACAACTCCAAAAACAACACCAAACTCAAACATCAAACGACCGCCAATCAAACGCCAAATTAAATATTTGACCGCGGCACAGCCCCTGGCCGCAAAGTTCTTACAAGTCTAGGACTTTAAAAAATACTCCCTGTAGCGTTTAGGGTTACAGGGTCACCCCGGACAGCCTGGGCCAGAGATGGAGTGGTGGTGGAGGCCATGCTATCACATGGGGATGAGCTTGGGCTGCCATCGTCGATGTTCTCAAAGGAGAGCCTGAAAGAAGTGGGCTTGGTCCGCTGACTCCGCTCCGACATCAGACTTCTGCCGCCCCAGAGGCTCAGAGTCGTTGCTCACTGGCGTTGCAAGGGAGAAGCCGCTGCTGTCCCGCCTCAGCGGCACGCAGGAGCACCACAAGACCTCCCCCCGTCCTCCTCCTCCTCCTCCTCCTCCTCCTCCTCCTGTGCTATGCAATCCCTTCCCTCCACCATGTCCGGTGTACTACCGTTACGATGCCTTGTTTGTTCAGCTTCATTCTCATAATGCCCATTGGCCCGTGACATGCCCCGCGGCCGCTCATACTCCGCTTGGACCTGTCGCATACATGCGTCTGCACCCGCGCGTACACTTGTTGCTGCGGTGCAGGTATCAGGCGCTTGACACCATGCAGCACTGAGCAATCCCAGTAGCTGATGCTTCTCTTGAGCTTCCACCTCCTGTTGCATCCTGCAGGCATGCTCAGAACGACAGCGCAACAACGTATGCAAGCTGTGCCGATGAAATCGCTAAAAGGCACGCCCAGCTCCTTGACACCGTCTTCTCCAGCTCCATGCTGCGCTGCAGATGCTTCTCGAGGCGATCGGAGACCACGCGCAGCTCGTCTTTCAAAGCGGCCTCAGAGAACTATCATCAACAATAGTCTTCACATCCCTAGCTAGAAGATGGGCCGATAAACGAACGACTGCCAGAAGATCTACTGAATTCACCAGCCCTTTGGAACAGAAGGTGAACCGCTAAGACAGCTACAAACATATGCCGGCGACTACATATGTGGAGAGTAAAAGGTCTTCGATGAACACACTGCGAGTCGGCCTTCTCGGCTTCACTTTGGGCCAAATGTTTTTCCGCGCTCGCCGCGCGAGTTGTCAGGCCTGCAGCAAGACAAGGCCCGATCCAACCACCCTACGTGCTGCATCAGAGTTCTTGCAACTCCGTCGAGGCACGTGTCTCGCAAGCTGCCAACTTTTCCTTCAAATGCTTCTGGAGCAAATTGGCTGCCTTAGGGCTGAGAAATTCTCCCACGATTACGAGAGCTGAAGCTTCTAACTTCTAGCACCTTCTTGTGCTGCAGCAAGCAAGTCGCAGAATCTGCAGACTATCTGCAGCCTTCTCCACTCAAATCCTCAACCTGGCCCTGGCTGCAATCAGGTGGCCTCGGACTCTCGAGCTTTCTCGCGATTTAGCCGCTGATACTCCTCCTGGCACGGCTGGCATCTTGTCTCAGGGAAGCTGGGAACGGCCAAGTTCGGCAGGGTGCGGACACTTGGCGAAACAACCATCGGGGCTGTCCTTGTAGATGTTGCTTCTGTTTGTCAGCCTCTCCCAGTCTGCCTTTGCCCTGGATGTCGCAAAAGTGCCCAAGGCTCGAAACAATGGTCATGCAGTCATGCGTCCAAGCAGCTTTTCTTGGGCAGCCTGCAGCTGCTCGGCCAGCTTCTGGAGTTGATCCCAAAGCTTTCGATTCTCTGCTTCAAGCCTGTGAAGCAAACATCACATGGTTGCAATGTTACTCCAACTACTAACTCGGGACGGAACAAGTGCAACGTGAAACCAAGGCACAGCTGTTGTGTTGACCGTGTTGGTGCTCCGGCAGGATGCGCAAATGTCGGTGGCACCATTGGTCCCGGATTGCTGTCGGCACCGCCATCCCGTGGGAGGAAGGCGCGCCCGGCAACGTTCTCCACGAAGCCAAAGGGCCTCAGAGAGGTGGCTGGTTCTGCGGCCAGAGAAGCTACAGGTGTGAAGGCTGTTTTGATATCCGGGGCGCCTCTGTTCAAGGCCAGGTTCCTTGCCAATCAGGCCATGCCTCGGTGGCGATAATGGTGGAAGCAATGGTCAGGCAGTTCCGAGCCCCAAGATGTTGGCCGTTGTTTAGGCTCACGCAACCGCTCGAGGCCCCGTGCCAAATGCATGTTTTTAGGCTTTTCAGGGTTCTTGCCTGTGGGGGGTGGGGCGGGGGTGATGATATGCATTGTCGCTTCATCAATTGCAGCCTTGTTGTGGCGGTGGTGGTGGTGGTGGTGGTGGTGGTGGTGGTGGTGGTGGTGGTGGTGGTGGTGGTGGTGGTGGTGGTGGTGGTGGTGGTGGTGGTGGTGGTGGGTGCGTGGTGGTGGTGGTGGTGCGTCTTGGTGGTGGTGGTTGTGTTGGTGGTGGTGGTTGTGATGTTGATGTTGCTGTTGACTGTTGCTGTTGCGGTTGATGTTGCTTTGAATGCTGTGATGTTGGAGTTGATGTTGATGTTGATGTTGTTGTTGTTGTTGTTAGTCGTGTTGTCGTTTTTGTTGACGTTGTTGTCGTGTTGTTCGGGTGTCGTTTTTGTCGTTGTTGATGTTTGGTGGTTGGTGGTGGGTGGTGGAGGTGGTGGTGGTCGGTTGGTGGTGGTGGTGGTGGGGTTGGTGGTGTGGTGGTGGTGGTGGTGGTGGTGAGTTGGTGGGATGGTGTGGTGTGTGTGGTGCTTGGTGGTGGTGGTGGTGGTGGTGGTGGGGATGGGGTGGTGGTTGTGTTGTGATGTTGCTGGATTGGTTGTGCGTGTATGATGATGATGTGATGTTGGCTGTTGCTGCTGCTGTTGTTGCGCTGCTGTTGATGTGATGCTAGATGTGATGCTGTGCTGAGCTCATGCTGATGCTGATGCTGATCTGATTGCTGCTGCTGATGATGCTGATTGATGTATTTGTTGAGTTGTGGTGGTGGTGGGTGGTGGTGGTGGTGATGTGTGTGGTGGTGGGAGGTGGTGGTGGTGGTGGTGGGTTGTGTGTAGTGGGGGGTGGTGCTGGTGTGGTGGATTGTGCTGGTGCTGGTGCTGGTGCTGCGTGCTGGTGATGGGATGGTGCTGGTGCTGGTGCTGGTGCTGGTGCTGGTGCTGGTGCTGGTGCTGGTGCTGGTGCTGGTGCTGGTGCTGGTGCTGGTGCTGGTGCTGGTGCTGGTGCTGGTGCTGGTGCTGGTGCTGGTGCTGGTGCTGGTGATGGTGCTGGTGCTGGTGCTGGTGCTGTGGCGGCGGTGGTTTTGTTTGTCATGGCTTCTTTCTGTCTTTTCGGGTTGTCGGTTTCGGGAGGCCACAGACCATGCCGGAGGTTGCTGTACCGCCTTGGCCCA